ATATATATATATATATAGTACATTTTCAAAACGCTTTCATTTGTATTAACCTTTTAGTGCCTGCAAAAATATCCATTCTCCAAGAGGATTGCTAATTTTATTGACACTTCACAAGTGTAAATAAATGAAGGGTTCCTGAGATCCAGGCTCAGCTTACTGTATGTGATGTTGTTTTTTTTCAAGCTCTGCTAACTTCATGTCAATTGTTTGACCTGTTGTAGGAGTGAAGGAGAAGGCAGGTTATATCACACCTGTCCCTGGAGGTGTTGGGCCGATGACAGTCGCTATGCTGATGAAGAACACTGTGACTGCTGCCAGAAACGCACTGATGCATTAAACACCCACATTCTAAAGCTTTTAGTGTTACTGAATGATATACAGTACAAACAGTGTATGCATACATACACATATGCACATGCATTCATTTAGATTTACACACACACACACACACACACACATACACACACACACATACACTCACTTTTATTTAACAACCCATGATCTCATGACTCCACACCTGCTGGAAAACTTACTTGACATGTACTTTGTTTATATTGTGAATTTGTTCATTTATTTATTTAAGTTATTTATTTCAGAGTTCACTTTTTAAGAATTTAGATTAATATTTTTTCTACTGAAGTTGTTGTTTTGGTTCATTTTTGAACATCCAGATCAACTGGAAAATGAGTATTAAATAAAAAACACTGCTGTGCCAATAACTATTCTTTCTGTCTTTTTTTCTGATGCACCCTTCCTTTATTAGACAGTTGACACTGTAAAGAGAGAGGAATGACAACAACAGTGCAACAGTGGCCCTTGGCTGGAACTGAACCGTGGACATTGTGGTCGTGTTGTATACACCTTAGCCATTAGGCTGTTAGGGCACCCATTACTGACTCCTGGTATGAAGGAAGACTGCTTTTTCCATCTCTCTTATCTCTTTCCTTTGGCTGACCCAAGAAAATTAGAAGGAAAGTGCTGAGAGCAAAACATGAGCTTTGATAATTTCCCTAACATTGTCTCATTTTTTGCAAAAACATGCAGCCATCATTTGATGCATGACTTTAAATCAAGATAACTGTAATAATTTATAAAAGCTTCTCTTTAAAAACAAAATCATTTTCTTTTTACCCCTGGCATGGCTAAGGATGCCAGTGTCAGTTACTCAACTACTTTGGTCCAGACTAACATATCTCAATACCTATTGAATGCATTACCATTAAATGTGGCACCAGTATCCACAGTTTTAACCTGACAGTGAGGGGCTTTATCAGGACAGCATAATATGTACAAGGCCTTTCTCCCACTAGCAGCAGATCCAGGCATGCAATGATGCACTTATTTCCTTCCCACACACCAGCACTGCCAACTGCCTTTGATATCAATTGTTGGGAATTAAATCCAATAACCGACAATTTCTTATAGTACAATTAAAGAATGAAATATTAACCATCAATAAAGCTAGTAATTACAGCTTGTAAACCATTTTGTAAAGGATTCCTTAGAAAGTGGTACTGAGATGGCTTCGAACAACGTCGGTCGGCAACCTATAGAAACTATTCTCTCCAGAATCTGTCATGTGTATCTCGTTCTATACCATTCTTATCTCTTATCTTATCTCTCTAACCTGTTATATTTATGAAAAGCTAAAAGGTGGTCACAGAAAAAATCTTCTGTAATCCCCCCCCCCCGAAGAGATTGAGGCTTTCACAACATCTGTAATTGTCAATGAAGCAACCTCTCAAAAGGTATTTGAGTGAAACTATCAATCTACCAAGGGTGTGCGTGTGCTCAGAAACTTCCTTAGAAAAAACAACATTTAAGCAGCTTCTGCGTAATCACATGCTCCCCCCTCAACCTTTTGCCTTTGCCTGTGCATGCAGAGAGTCGGTGCAAATAAAGGACATGATGTAAACGGATTTTGAGAAGGAAATGCTTCTCATTTGAAAAAAAAAAATCTGCAGTTCATTGATTGGCTGTTCAAATCTTTTCAGTGGTTGGGAGCCGGTATATAACTAGGCTAAAAGCTGTCACTGATCACACTTCAGAGGCAGAAGAAGCTGAGCTGAAAACATCACAAACCCCCCCCCCTCCGACAGAAGACAAGATGTTTACACAAAGACAGACACACCTGGAAATGGGTACGTTTATACTCACATCTGAAATGGGTAAAATTAGGACAGAATTTCTGTAGTTTGTGTAAATGAGTCGGAAGATACATTAATAGTCCTTGATTATAGCAGTACTAAAATGTGGTGATGACATGATGTAATGACGTTATACCAAGTTTACCATTTGTGTTCACACCAGTGTATGTTTTACAGTAACAGAATCGTATTTTATTGAAACTAGAATCTTTGACTAGAAAACAACAATAAATAAAACAATAGGAGTTTTGCAGCACAAAGACCCACACGGGAGAAACATTTTAAAAGTAAAATCTAATAATCTTAATTCATGATCTGTTATTTCCCTCCATGTTTTCCAGTCTTCCTTTCAGCAGTGGCATCGCTGCTTCTCCTGACCCCAGCAGGACAAAGTGCAATGCTGACTGACAACCTGCAGACCACAGCGGCTCCTGCGCTGTCCAACTCCACCCTGACCACACAGCTCAACAACAGTAAGTGTCTTCAGTGTAGAGTTTTATGTCAGCTTGAAGACACTGAACTCTGGATAAGTGTTTTATCGCTGATTTAACCGAAGTTTACGGAGCCCCGAAACTCAAAGAATTATAAATTTTTATCTTGTGTACAGAACCTTTAATATACATGAGTCATCTTGTGAAAAATATGTCAGTTTTCAGAACGTCTGTGCCTCCATGTAAATCTGTGTGGGGAACACTAGTGCTACGGGGGCTCACTTGTACCACTCAGTAATCAATTAAATAAATTAATCCACCAAAGATAAATGACCGTACTGTGTAATGTACACCTCCTGTAGTCAGTCAATACATTTGTTATTGTGTTTTTATTGTTATAATTATTGTTTTTTCATTGTTGTATCATGTAGCCATCATTTTCACACCTTTGCTAATTAAGTTATTGATTAATTATTCTATTTATCCATACACTCCATTTATCAGTTAGTCAGTTGATTTATTAGTCTTCCTCTCTCTGCAGGCAGGATGGAGGAGCTGCTGATTATGCACTCACGCAGACCATGTGGGAGCGCAGATGAAAACTTCTGTGTAAACGGCGGAGAGTGCGTTTACCCGCAAGACGATGACAAACCTTCTTGCATGTAAGACATGGGTCACACACACACACACACACACACACACACCCACACACACACACACATTAAAGCCTAGCCTGTAGGTTCCCTGTGTATCCTGAATATGTTTTACTTATAATCAGTAAAAACACTACTTCATATCTTCATGCACATGTTGGTTCGTGTTCACCTTTGGAATGCACTCACATATTTTTGTGTTTGGTCTGCAGCTGCCCGCCCTCATACATCGGCCAGCGCTGCATGTTCTTCAGTGAACACACTCGCTCTCTGCCTGAGTTAGAGCAGCTGATTGCCATCAGTTTTGGGATAGTCATGCTTATCGCTGTCCTGGCCATCATCATCTACTGCATTGCCTATAAGAAGTGAGTATCTGCTGGCTTTTTCCACACAGTGCTGCACTTGTAAGTTTTAGGGGAATTCTTGTCCAGTCATGGCATATTGGTCTGGGATTTCTCCATACCATCAAAAAAAATTAGACATTTTCAGTGTTTCTTTTTTCAGTCTTGTGGTCTACAGTTGGTAAAGTTAAAGAAATCATCATTCAAATTGGTAGCATTGATGTATTTACAGTTAGTTTACATTTTCGGCATTTCACTGTGTGTAAAAAACAACAGTATATTAACAAATGTCTTTAATGAATAAGCTCTAATTTAGATGATTTTTTTCTTCCCAGGTGTATAAAGTCAGCACCACTAATCAAATCTGCACCGTCTAAGTCGCCAGTGTGACCCCTACAACTGACTGTTCATCATCACCATCACCACCATCACCATCACCATCTTTATCACCATCACCATCTTCATCATGTGTCACTGCCATTTTCAGTATTATTATAGAATATAGATTGAGTAGTATCTCAATAACCATAACATTTTCATCAAACTGTATAATTCACAGGATTGGCACTGATTTACTAAACAGTTAAGAGACTAGAAGAAAGATTACACTGTTTCAGAGCCTGTTATTTGAAATAGGGTCAAATATTTATCACTTCGATGTTGTCTAAACAATGAGACAGAACAAATATGATTATTTATTGTACTGTAGCAATTAACTTATTTTACATGTTCATTTTATTTAACATTTTGTAATAAATGTATGAAACCTAATATTTATGTGTTGTTTTTGGGAGTAAAAGGTGAATCAACACACATCACATGCACACACACAAACACATCAACATCATATTATTAACTTATTAGTTAAGAAGATGGAGGTTTTGTTAGTAATTAATTGGTAATTAATATTTGTGCTAAGAGCCTTTCTAAGTTCCCTTTATTGACAGACTTCATGCACTACTCTGCCCGCTGTGCTCAGATTGTGAAAAATAATGAATAATTAGAGATCCATCTTACTTAAAGATAATTTTACCCCACAAAGAATGAAGCAGTGATTCATATTATATATAAATGCATCTGGTGGGCCAAATCAAAGTGAATTAGATCCTTGGGGATGAAGGTGTAGACAATTATTAAGTGGAGCCAAGCCCCCTCTGGCTGCCCTGTAGTTCACACCCTGGTCAGAAGTACAGTCCACTACTTTCACTGAATATTTCCATCATGTTATTTTAGATTTTTACTTCACTACATGTTTTTGCCATCAGTTACTAGTTACTTTGAAGAAGTAGAATATCAGATTTTTTAAAAATTGAATCCTCATCTATCAGCGGTGGAAATAAACTATGTTTGTTTACTCAATACTTACTTATAGTTTCAAACTTTACTTGAGTGTTTCCTTTCTATGCTACTCGATCCACTACATTGCAGTAAGAAATATTGTACGCTTCGCTGCTCTACAATTATTTTCCAGCTATTTTTACGACTTATTTTTTATAGATTAAGATTTCTCAAACAAAACACATGTGCTTGTAAAATGTAATGAACTGTTACAGGTTGTTATTAACTACCCAGCGGTATGTGAAGTTGTTAGAACTAGCTCCACTTTAACCAGGTACAACAGTAAAATGCTTCTTACATGTTTTGCATAAGTACTATTAACCCTTTAATATAAAATATAAAATAGTACACATCCACAATACAGTAACTATTTTTACTTTTGACACTTTACACAATTTTTCCTGATAATACTTCTGTGCTTTTTCTTAAGTAGGAGTTTGAATGAAGGACTTTTACTTGTAATGGAGTATTTTAAGATTGTGATATTACTACTTTTTCTTAAGTAGCCTAAAAGATCTGAATACTTCTTCCACCCACTGTCTATCTGTTATAGTAAAAGGTAGTCTTCCATCTGAGTTTCAAGAAGTCCATCAGTAATAAAAAGACAGACAGTGACAGGAGCAGCTCCACCTTTCCTGTTTTCTTAGGGGGGGGCACCGGGGTCTGTCTCTTTATTTGAACCTTTGAAGTATAAAATTGTCTAAATTACAGGAATCCGCCACCACACCCAGTCAGTAGAACAGAGCCCATTGGTTTCCAGTGTCTCCCTGCCAGTGCTCATCGCCTGCCCCCTTAACAGGTATTTTGATATTCGGAAGCGTCTTCAGTCCAGACCGGCTCCGACCTGCGCCTCCCGCCTCCGACCTGTCCGCTCTGAAATGGGGAACAACAAACCTTCAGCGCTCCTCTCGCTTATCGGTAAACTTCATTTTTTGAATTTATTTATTTAAATGCTTGAGGAAGTCAGGTTGACACATTCGTTTGGCACTGTTGTGTTTTAATGGTTAGTTAATGAGGGGGTTCAGGTGAGTTTAGGTTTTCATTGTAAGCTCAACTTGGGGACGGATGAGAAAAGCGCGTTACACCCGCTGACAGCTGCTCAACCACACAGGAACAAGTTGCTACATTTAGCTTAGGTCTGCTTAAGTGCAGCTTTGACGCCCTGGTAGTCTACAACGTTACTTGAGTATTTACATTTAATGCGACTTATAGCCTACCAAAAATTGTACAATACATGACAGTACTCAAATGTACTTAGTTACTTTGGCTACATTAGAGTATTTCTATTTTGTGCGACGCCACATTTTACATTAGGGAGTGTTTTACTCCGCTGTGTGTATGTAGCCTACATATAGCCTGTAGCCTATCTATATGGCTGTAGTCAGAGCTCACAATAATTGTCTACACCTTCATTAAGTGGAGCCAAGCCCCCTCTGGCTGCCCTGTAGTTCACACCCTGGTCAGAAGTACAGTCCACTACTTTCACTGAATATTTCCATCATGTTATTTTAGATTTTTACTTCACTACATGTTATTGCCATCAGTTACTAGTTACTTTGAAGATTAAGATCTAGCCTACAGAACATACAGTCAGCTGAGAAAACTCACTGTGCAGTTATTGTTAAAATACCCAACATATCCTATATGAAAATGCTAAATAATAATAATAGACTGCTATTCATTTATAATCCACTCTAACAGGGTTCATCCTGCTGTCTAATTAATATTTTGACTTTAGATACTTTTACTACAAAGTTCAGATAATATTTCTCTACTGATACTCGAAAACTCATGAAAGTTGGCGCACATGTCAGTCGTGGCGAAAA